AGCCAGATGGAAAATATAAATGTCTGCTTTTTTACCTTCCAAAATGATGTACAGATGAGCTATCACATTGGGGAGGCATACCTGTGCACTGACTGACATCTAGGTATTGCCAGAACAGCAACTGCCAGTGCTGCCTGCTAACAACAGGAGAGAATCAGGTATCCCACTCACTTCCAGTCTTTCAGGAGAAGCGGACACACATTCAGTCACCTCCTTCAGCACTGTGTGGCTTCCTGTGGAAAACTACTACTCTTTTAAAAATGAAGAGGCATTGCACTGTGGATTTAAGAACATTAATAACCCAAATTTGCACTTTAACTTAGAGCCCACGCTTCTGTAGATTTAAGCCTTGAAACTAGGACAATTTTTGTGATTCAGGTAGAATAAGCCCCAAACTCCTTGTGGTAAAATGCTTACAGGAGTAAACATTTATTATTAAGTCAGCCAGGAACCATTTCCTCTAATTAAAACATTTGCATCCTGGTGCTGTCTCATCCCATACTACCAAATGGAAAATGTATTTCTCTAAGTCAGTGCTGCTCCTGAAAGTGACCCCATTGAGCTGGAAGACTACAACCTCTCTGGACTGTAAAATCACTCCGAGACCACCTTCTGAGGGGGAGCTGATGACACAAGCCCTATAGAGTGCCAGCTTTCCAATTGTTGCTGCTATAAAACATGTTTGGGGGCTTGGAATTGAATGTACTAAACCTCTTCATATAACTCAGGAGCTTACAGCCTTTCCTTAGCACCTATTCATGAATGAAGTCCTGCCAAGACAGGGATTACTGGGGGACACAGAGACAAGATGTTTTTTACAATTTCTTTTGACTGCTGATGTCCTAGTGCCTGCAGTGATGAAGAGCACCCTTAGCTGGTTGTATTACTCTACCAGACACCACCATGTTATATAATGGGAAGCAAAAATAATAAAATTTAGATACAGGATATTGCAAAAGGAACGACTAATGCTGCACGCCTCTGAATTTATGGTGCCTGATTTCCTGTAGCTTCCTCTGTTGTGATGCTTACAATGTCTACTAATGCAGCTCGGGCACACTGCAGCCTTCCTCTCTCTATGGGCACCAATTCCTTCTTTTCCAGCAGATGCCTTTTGCCAAGGAAATTGCATAATGGCAGTTCTGCAGCTTTGACAAAGGTGGCTGAGGTTAGTCACATAGCTAGAGCATCATTTCTGGAAGAGAAAAAGCGAACCAAACTAATTGACTCAGGAAATGAATTTGCCGATGTCATTTTTGTGTTCCCCAAAGGCATTTATGTAGTCACTGTAGCACTTTAGGTGGTGTTTTCCAGCTACTTCTAAAAAAAAACCAAAAAAGCAAAGAGCCCCATAGAAATAGAAGTTGAAAGGAATTTTTCTGTTAACTTCATCTGTTCATTTTGTTGCAGCTAGGATTTTGCCTCTGATTTCTGCACTATGTTGTACAAACTGAAGATGAAGGACACTTTTAACTTGCCCTCCAACTAACACACTACAAGGTTTAAAAGAAGTTAGCCAGATCATGGCTACTGAAAACTGACTGAGCTACAGTATTTGAAGTCAGGTGAAAAAACACATCAAAAGTACCTACCAAAAAGGAACTGAAGAGAATAAAGCTCCTTAATATTTGGGAAGAGCAATATGACATGGACAAAAGATATAAAAGACTACAACCACAAGCTGAAAATAATGACCTGGGTAAGGCAAGGAATGCAGGGTGAGGAGAGGAAAATCATTGGGCCAGGGACTAGGAAGGAATGAGGAACAGTTTTTTGGATGGAGGTGAAGATGGAATAACCACAAACACTGGGACTGGCCTTGGCTGACCAGAACTTAAGCTGTGCATTAGCCAGTACATATCCTTCTTTTCCCTTATGCCTTCCATGAGATCTGCTTGCTATTTGCTTGAAAGACTTCTTTAAAACTTGATTTTAAGGACTTAGAGCAGAGTCCCTGCTTTCCTGCCTTGTTTATTACGCCAAGTAACATATCAACATATATTCTAGGTGCTGGTACAACACACACTGATGAGCTAAAAGGGAGACAGGACACACACTGAAATAGCACACAAAAATCATTCTATCTGCCAGACTTCTGGCTAAACTGAGTTACTTTTAAGAGCTCAGGGAATATGGGAGTACAAAGAGCAAGATATAACTATGGTGTGAAGCTGAGTTTTGAGCAAGAGTCAGGAAAACTGACTTGTCCAGTTCTATAGAGAAAACCCAGGAGTCAAGCAGTAACATAGACTTAAAATGAAAAAGCTATGCTAGCCTTGTGCAATGCTAGTTCTACATCACAGAGAGGTGCATTGAAAGATGAGGTTGTGAGTCTTCAGTGCCTTTGTTCACAAAATCATTTAAAATCAAATTTGATCTCAAAATATAGCCCCATAGATATAAGGAAAATAAATATCTTCCCCCAGGCATTGAAACATCACTTGTTACAAAAATCTAAATGGTTTACTTTTGGTTCTACAGTTCATGTGATCCACTGCAAAATCTTGTGTTTTGAACAGTTTTTTTTCTTCAAAATATGGGGGGGAAAAAAAAGGTAAACCTAGCTAAATGCCTATCATGAAAATATAATTTTATTCCAAATTTAAAGCTGAGATAAATTACATTTTCAGTTACAAATGAAAACAACCTAGGCATACTGTGAAGGCCAAACACACTGGCATTTTCTTTTAGAAATTTCTTCTCTAGAAACCAACAAGCGGGATCTGAGGACGAGCACAGACTGCATGTAATTAAAAAAAAAAAATCTCTGAATTACGGATATTTAAAGCTTACAAAATTCAACACTTTTTATCCTGTTTAGGAGACAAAGTAGATGATGACTTTTACGTCACAGTTCCTTTCTGTTTGTATGCCCGCATGGTGTAGCGCAAGGTAAAAAAAGAGAATTTGCAGTGAATCAACGGAAACCTTCTGGCAATATTTCAACTGGTCCAACATCTTGTAAAATGTGGCTTCCAAAACTAAAATAAGTCATGTTCAATCCATTCCCATATGAAGAAGTGACATGTGCTCTATTTTGAAGAAGATAAAAACTTATATGGAAGATGTGACAAGAAAGGCTGCTGGCATGAGCTTAGGATGTTCACATTTTAAGTGACGAAGACATGTCAGTGAGTTACGCAAATTTTCTGAAACAAGTGCCAAAATTTCTTTTACCAAATCATCACACAGTCTACGTAATATTTAGCTTACTATAACCCTTTTCACATATACATCTCCCAGCCTTACACAAAGGAGAAAGTAAAAGCTATTTTAGAAGTAATTTAGGAAGCTTAAAAACCGACCAGTCATAGTGAAATTTATTAGCATCTTTTCTACGCCTCACTTCAACTGCCACTTTATTGAAAAGTGTTATTCTAGTAAAATCCTTAAAAGGAATGTCTCGAGGCTTTCAATGACTACAAAGGACACTTGTAAAGTTAGCTGTTCTCATTAGTATACAGAGGCTAGGATTTGAGGAGGGGAAAGGGAGGGGGGAAGGGGGATGCAAAATCGATGCATAATCATCAGTGGCAAAAAGGTACAAGTCAAACTTGCCAGCTTTCAGAATTTCAGCTGACCCCCACACATACACTTTCAAACACAATTGTGTAACAACTCGGGCTCTATCAGTGCTCGGTTTTTAGCTTGTCTCCTTCAGCTCTTTTAGTAATTAAACTATTCATCCCAGGGTTCAAATTCAGCATCAGCACAGCAAATACCCACCTCCCTGAGCATCTAAAGGGCAAATACAAGAATAACCTATTTTTCAGTTGTGGTTAGTGGTTATATCTGAAGCTTAGAGTTCTTTGTATTTTCTACTGAACTTTTTTCCCTGAATTAAGAAAGAAACAAGGAAATTTCAAATAAAAATTCACTGGAGGGACAATCTACCCATTATGTTATTGTGTTAGAGGATAAGAATTAATGGCAGATTTGAATCCTTTAAAAGTTGTGCAAAATGCCACAAAAGCAGTGCAAGTTATGCAAAAAGGACTTCAGATGCTAGCAATTAAGGAGATTCTAAAATGCATTGAACTTCCTTTGCATTTTACATGCTTTGATATGGAAAAAACCTGCATTATACTTATAAATTAATCAAGATAAAGCTAATAATAACATCACATACTGGTCTTAGTGCATGAGGAATTCAATGAGACATCATAAAAACCTTCAGCATCAGTTTCTATTAGTAGCTGTGGCAGAGAGAGAAGTCTAAAATATTTTGTGGAATTAATGTATTTGTGAAAGAACTAATCGCAGAAGTAAACGTCGCTGTTCAAATTGCTCTCTTGGACAAAGACAAACATCTTCCATTTTCTTTCATGTGGGATTGCTACCTTCTTCAAAGGAGCTTTTACCTCAAATTGAGTGGGGGCTGGGAGACTGTTATGCTCCAGTCTGTCTGATGTGTTCAGTTCTGATCTTGAAGCTCAATGACTCCTAAAAAGCCAAGGTAGGATTTTACCAAGGAAGCTATTCAAACCAGGTATCGGAACTTAACAGTGACCAGCATCAAATTATCAAATTCTGGTTTACAGATTTTTAATTGCTGCCTAGACCTACCTCGCTTTCTTCAATATTCGCCCCCCACCCCCTCAGAGGAAGAATAAAAAAAAAAAAGACAACCCAAACAAGCAACCAACACAAGCTATGTTCCTGCCCCAACACAAGATCCCCAATTCTGGTTTCAGAATGATTTGACTTATAAATTCCAGCAGCCACATTCTCGGCTGCTCGAAGGGGCGTCTCATGGCTCACGAATGAACGCTGCTGGCAAACAAAGGGGCTCAGTTGCATCTCTGTGCATTAATAGCCGGTGTCCCACTGCATCAGACTATGCGGATTGTTGTGGGGTTTTTTTTTTTGCCTGCAAAATGGAGATCTTACAACTGAAAAAAGATCAAGGCAGAACGTGCCTCCTGGAGCATCATCCACACAGTTTTGTTCTCGTGAACGAGAATTCACTTCCCCTTAACAATGAGACACAGACTCGAAAATATAAACAAGACCACGTTTATTCAATACAGACAGGTTAATTAAGACAGTAAATCCTGCAAATCAGGAACACATTTCAAACGCTCCGGTACGAAGTGCATATATTTAAAATCAACAGCTGCATCTTGTACTTGAGCCATTGCGTTTGTTGGGGAAGGGTGGATTTAGGGTTTTTCTTTTTGGTAGAAAAAACTTGTTTCAGCTACCTTATGCGAACAATGCATCCTCAGGCTCCACTCACTTATTTGTTAAGTCCAGCTGCCTTCCAGCTTTGATATTCACATTTTTTTAAAACTGCTTCATACAGTCACAACGAGAAATAATAACAATAAACGTTAAAATAACAATAAAAACCCCCAACAAAAAAAACCAAAACAAACCAGCCCGGGAGGGGAAAGGAAACACCTCCCGCCGGGGTCAGCGAGGATTATTGCAAATGGCTCCTGGGAGACGGAGCAGCTCCGCGGCAGCGGGGACCGGCGGCAGGGGGGTCCGCGGCCCCGGCCGGGCTGCCCCGACGGGGGGAGGAGGAGCTCCCAGGAAGGCAGAGGAGGTAGGGGGGCACAACAACAGCGCGGGGCCGGCGGCGTGCACGGCCTCCGCTGGTGGGCGAGCTGCGGGGCTCGGCGGGGTCCGTACCGTGGGTGACCTTGGGGCGGGGGAGCTCGGGCACTCTCCTCGCCCCACCGGCACCGGCACCGGGGGGGAAGCCCCGCCGCCGGGACACACTTACATCCTGGCAGAGCCCGCACCGCGCTGCCGCAGCGCGCCCGGCGGGGCCCCGCCGCCGCCAGCGGCCGCGCTCTTCCGCCCCGGTCACCGCCGCTCGGCCCCGCCGGCTACTGCAGGGGCTGCACCGCCGCCGCCGCCGCCTCGCCGTCCATGCCGCCGCTCCCCGCCGAGGCGCTGCCGCTGGAGGCCGCGGATGCCGCCGCTGCCGCCGCCGCCGCCGCCAGCTGCAGCCGCCGGACGGCTTCTTTGATGAGGTTGCCGGAGAGGATGAGCTGCTGCAGGAGCCGGTGCGGGTCTTCCTCGTCCGCCGGACCGTCGCCCGGCCCCGGCGGCGGCTGCTTCCTCCGTCGGGCGGCGCTCCGCAGCCAGCCGCGGCCGCACAGCTGCTTGGTCACCCGCTGGTGGCCGCTCCGGTCCGGCCGCGGGGTCTCGGCGTGCTGCGACTGGGCTTGCGGTGGGGCCGGACCCCGCGGCGCCAGCAGCCCGGCCCCGCCGCCGCTGCAGCACCGCGGCGAGTAGGGGGCGGCGCGGTCGCGGGCGCTGCCCGGCCCCAGGTGCTTGGGGGCGCGGGGCGGCGGCGGCGCCCGCTGGGCGCTCAGCTGCAGCACCTCGCCCAGTTTGGCCACCAGCGCGTCCACGTCCTTGGAGCCCGCCTGTCCCACGGCGACCGGGCGCTCCAGCAGCAGGAAGCGCTCGCCCGGGCGGCACGGCATCTCTGCCGGGTCCCCGCCGTGCCGCAGCCGCCGCAGCGGGACCGGGGCCGCCGCCCGCCCGCCGCCCCGCGCGCGCGCGAGCACACGCGGCTCCGGCGCTGCGGTCGCGGCTGGAGCTCGGCCCGCTGGCGTTGGTTTGTAAACAATGGGTGACGCGCGCGCCCGGGCGCCTCCCACTGCGCCGGCCGGGGGGGGAGCGGGGCGGGCGGCCCTCCGGACCAACCGCTCACCGGCCGCTCCCGGGGCAGGCGCCCCGCGCGGGGAGGGCTCGGCCAACAGCGCGGGGGCGGCTCCCGCCGGTAGGGCGAGGCCGCCCCGCAACCGCCGGACACGCCACTGCCTGTCCCGCCTCCCTCCCCCCCGTCTGCGAGCCGCGTGGACCGGCCCGCTTTCAAACCCCGCACCTCGGGTCCCGGGGGCGGGGCCGCGGTGATTGGCAGGAGGGGGCGGGGCGGCGGCCCGGCGGGGTGTCCCGCACCGCTCTGTCGGCGCAGGGGGGCCGAGGAGGGCGAGCGGTGTCCGGTGCCCTCCCCGTGCCAACCCGGCCGGTGCCCTCCCCGTGCCCGCCCGGCCGGTGCCGCTCCGCTCCCGCCGTTAACGGCCCGCGGGTTGCCGGTGCGGGCGCGCGCCGGTGCCCCCGCGAGCGCCCGGCGGTTGCGCGCGTGCGGCTCTCCCGCAGCAGCGCGCGCCTGGAAGCGGGAGCCGGCGCTTCCCGGCGGATTGCGACCGTCCCGCACCGGCGTCTGCGGGAGCGGGACGTGGCGCTGCGATTCCCGTTGCCCACTGTAGTCTTCCGCGGGATTCCGTGTTGGGATCGCGGCACGTTCGCACCGCCCGGTTCTGGCCGCTTGGCTCGCGCTCGGTGGTCGCGTTCCCCCTGCTTGGTATGCCCGCCGTGTCCCCGCACCGGGCAGCGCACTGCTTTTGCGATTAATTCCTTGGCACAGCAATTACTTTGGAGTCTTATTTCTCATCACTAGAATTAGCAGACCTGAGGCAACTCTGTGCGGGCGTTCTGTCGGGATTTCTACGAGCCTGCATCACCTGCACCAAGGCTCTGTCCTGCCTCTCCCTGTCCTAGTCCCGTTCCTTTCCTTGATTCCATCACCATATCCTTCAAGCAGGTGCTTGAAGGATAACATTTTCTGGGTGTCAGAACTCTAGGGGCATAGTCCAGAACACACTCGTTCACATGACAGGGCATGTGGTCGGCTCCACTGGGAGTACCTAGTAAAGTGGAAGTTGCTCATGCACATAACTGCTGTCAGCACTGTGCCCTTGATTAATCAGTAAGCAGTTGGCAAAGAAGAGGGCATGTCCTTTGGTCCGTTTGTCATGTTCACCTGAGCTACTTTTAACTTGCTGTACAAAGCAAGAGACCCTGTGCACGTGTTAGTGAACATGCTTGTAACCTTAACATGTTACTGGTCTCTCCAGCCTACTTGTCCATGTCCATTATTACACTTCCAATCTGGATTTACATGAGCTGGGCATAAAGCATGCTATTTAATTGCATATTATTTATTCATATATATATATTTAAAGTACTGATACATTCTTATTTGTAGCACCTTCTTGGTAACTGGCAATTTAAACTCGGATTGCATTGTTTTGCAGATGAGGAAAAAGTGAGATTTTGTTGCCCCACAGCAAAATATTTTTAAGGAAACACTTTCAGTCCTTAATTATGCAGTATCTATTCAAGTGAAACAAAAGCAGGCCTGCATAGATGCAGTGGATGGATCTACTTCAACTCCAAGGGAGATCTATATTCAGATCACTTCTGAGTAGGTGATCTGTCGTTCTACACAAGCAAAACTGCAATAAACCAGTACAGCTTATTCCAGGCTTTTCTTCTCCCACAAAAGCAAAATAAGCTATACCAGCAAAAGCTCAGTGCTTCTTGTGATTACATCTACACCTGGGGCTTTCATGAGCCCAGCAATGATAATCGCAAATCGCGCTTCATTGCATCCCTAACCAAGAGCAGCGCTGGGAAAAGCTGGCAGGATAGAGCAGATCAGTGCCACAGATAGGGAGCTCAAAGAGCAGTCATTAGAATCCTGATTTTCTCAGATCTTTTTAAATGCAAAACTTTAGTGATGATTGACTGACAGTCGACTAAGTGTCTGCTGAGGATTTTAGGACTAAACACACTGAAAATGGTTACACAAAATGCTACTGATCAGGATTAATAGATTTACCACCTCGACAAAGTGAGTGTTGTATATTTGCAGATCTTCGGAAGAAGTGCATTTCAGATTATGTCCTCCTAGAGGAATTTGGAATCTCAGCCACTACTTTAGTAATCTATCTGCTCTCTTCACAATAAGACTGAAAGAGAAGAGAAAAGCAAAAATGCTGGAAAGATGATATATCCTATGTCAGATCTTAAATTCTCCCTCAAAGATTTGCTTATGTGGGAAAACTGCATCAAAAAGGGCTCAGTATGAATTTACATCATAATCACATCTGTGGACTGGATCTCAGCGTGCCAGCACACAGAGACTGTTCTGTGATTAAACCCCACTCCATGCCAAGGGCAGGTCTAAGCTGACTATAGCCACCATTGGATGTTCCCAGCAGAAATCACTGCAGCAGTTTATGAACTGGCAGCTGCTTGCTAGTGCCCCTCTGTAGGAATGAGAACTTCAACAGTGGGTTTTGCAACAAAGTGGCTGTCATAGGTGCTCTGATGCAGAGTTCACGAGCGTAAGTGACACGGTTGGCTGCCAGGTCAGCCCTGAAGAAGCTGGGGCTTCTCCAGTTGTAACCATCAGGTCATTTGGCCAAGTCCTGAGTTAGCTACAGCAAGGTATTCTCATTTAGATCAGGACAATCACAGCCTGGTTATCATACTTGGTCTTCTACTGCTGGTGATGAGTTCTGCAGCACTGCTGTTACTTTAGCAGTTTACTGCAATAACTGCAATTAAGAAAACCCTAACCAAACAAAAAAACCCATAAAACCCAAAACACTAAGGATAAAGGCAGGTTCTTTTAAAAATAAAAGTACGAAAAGAGTTGCAAAACTGTTGACAAGTTTTTTTCTGACCCCTCACAACATTTTTCTCAGCAGAAATTTTACAATGTGCATTGCTGCTATTCTTTTTTTTTTTTTTTTTTTTTTTTTTTTTTCAGAGTGTTTTGCCTCTTTCACTTTTGGGATTGCCAAAATTCTCATGGCAACTTCTTGTCTAAGTCACTCTATTAAGCAAGATGACATTACAGTTGCAAACAATAGTTAGTTCCTTTATATGATTATTGTTCATTTGCACTCTCACTTTATCCATTCAAATGTTTAGAAAACAATCTTTAAGATATTTTTAGTAATAATTGTCTTCCACATATCCCTAGCAGAGAACAAAATCTGAATTTCATAAACAAGTACTAATTGTATTAATTATGTGGTCATTTATAAAATTTTGATATAATTTTATAGTGTTTCCTGAGGATACATTTTTATTTCAGAATATAATGGTCATTTTATGTATCTTACCTTTTGTACTGATCCTGACAATAAGGACAACTGGATGTGAATTCTGAGCTTTAAACCTATTAAGGACAAGGAAAGAAAACCCTTAAATCCTTTGAAGTCTACAATCCAGTGTAATCTCAGTCCTTCCACTACATATATGTGTTCAGGATCATGCACATGTGTTATGGAAACCCTGTAACCCAATCAATGTACAAACTATAAAAAATACTTAACCTGTACAGATGTTTACATTTCAAACCCCTCTGCTGGAGCTGTGTGATCTGTGATCTCAGACTTTGGCATTGTGTATAGAAATAAATCAGGCTGATAAATTTGTGAGAGAGACTATGTAGTGTTGCATCACAACTGTAAAGTATTTATAGTGTTGTTTACAAAACAGTAAGACATCTTTGAACTGGCTGAACCCAGTGACTAGGAGGTCCATTCCAGTCCTTCCTTTCTTCAGGCATTTCTCATGTTTTTTATTTTCTACAGAAACTTCTGGCATATTTGTTAAATATGCAGAGCTTCTGTTCATGACAATAGTGTCAATGAAGGATGCTTGTGCAGAGTAAATTAATTTCCTGTGCACACTTAGAATCCAGAATGAGGAAAGGCCAGAACACCATCCAAATAAGGTAAGTTTAGATTCCCCAATAATTGTTTTGTAATCTGCATTTGTAATAGATTTCCAAGAACAAAAGACATTCCTTTAGAAACAGCTGAGGTTGCTAAGTGACACAAGTGTATTTACTGTGTCATAACTTGTGAAAGCCAAAGACATTAAAACAAGAGAATTAATAAACAGCAGTGTAATGAATCTTACCTTGACTCCCAGGGTAATTACAAACCTGTTGGCCAACAGCTTTACACGATTTTGGATGCCACGGGCCTTAATGGAAAAGGGAAACATTAATTGTTTTTAAAAATATAGACATTCATTCTTAAGGAATTCAAATACGCATACTTTGTCCCAATGGATGTTTAGGATTTGTATCTTTTTTGAATTGTTTCTGTTTAACCCCAGTCAATTACCTAAGAATTTGCATGTAGGGATACTGTTTCCTGGCAAGGCTAGGAACTACATTGTCAGTTGTGAGGCTGTTACTTCTTTTTGCTGAAGTTGTCCTCCAGTCTTTCAGGGAAAGCTAAAGGCTCACACCTTCTCCCTTCTCACCTTCTTCTAGAATCTGACACACCAAACTGCTGTGTTCCATGCAATCAGAACACATGGCTCCTTTGGAGGGAACACAGGAACATTCCTTTGGCCTGATAAGCTGATCCTTCTCTCCAAATATGGAGAGGTGGACACTGTACAGGGATTGCTTCTGAGGAGCACATTGAGCTACCTGTTCATTAGGAGTTGCCGGGCTGCCTTGCACAACAGCCTCTGCTAGTTTAGGAATGAGACAGCAGGCGTGGGAAAGGAGCCTACAGACGTCTCAGGGATGCACTAAACTACGGGGCAACCAGGTCTTTGTTTGTTTATTCAAATAATTGACTCACTTCCAGCTTTCCTAATAA